AACAACAATGTCAGTAAGAGGAGCTCTAGAGTCATAGTAGTTAAAGCATTTGGCTGTTAAACAAAAGGTCAGTAGGTAGAAACCACCAGCTTTTCCGTTCCATGGGAGAAAGATGAGGTAGTATACCTCTGTAAAGAATTACAACCTTGGAAAACCTATGGGACAGAGCAGAACTGCCCCATTAATTAACTCAGTAAATCTGATTATTTAATTATTCATTTTGGTTAGTATTGGAAATGACTGTTAGAAATCATCTCTTTCTTGTTCAGACATCTAGACATTTGATAACTATATAAGGTTAAAATCATTCATGCTTTTTAATTATATTCAGAGTAAGACCAGTAATAGCATTTTCTCACAATCCATTCAATGTCAAAGATTTTTCTTTATAGGCTTTATATCCAAGGTATCTTCTGTTTCCTCTTTAGTTTATAACAATAATACAACTGCTCAGAATGTTTTGTGTGACACTCTCTCACCTTTAAATGATCATTACCAAAATATCATAAACCTACATCAAATTAATTATTTGTAGTTCTTTTAACATTTCACCAAAATTATTATAGTTTGTTGATTGAACTTTGTGGCGTGCTTGTATTTTTGCATTCTATGTTTATATTTTTATAGAATGGTTGTAAGAATTTGACTATTTCTAAGTAAATTTACAAAGTATTTTTTGCATATCCTATATAATAAAGGTGGAAGGGAGTTTGAACAATAGACTTCTGTAATGGTACTACTTCAGAAACCCAAGGAGGGGTCGCTATGAGTAGGATCCAACTTGATGGCAGTGAGTTTGATTTTTATAAAATAAAGTCCCACCACTTGTCTGTCAGTTTGTCCTACTGTGGTGGCTGGCATGCCGCTGTGGTGCTGGAAGCTATGCCACCAGTATATCAAATACCAGATGTCATCCAAGGTAGACAGGTTTCAGCAGAGCTTCAGGCAAAGACAGACTAGAAAGGACCTGGCAATATACTTCTAAAAATATTGGCCACTGAAAGCCTATGTATAGCAGTGAAGCACTGACTGATATAGTGCTAGAAAACAAGCCTTTCAGGTTGGAAGAAACTCAAAATATGACTGGAGAAGAGCTGTCTCCTCAAAGTAGGGTAGACTTAACATGGATGGAGTAAAGCTTTTGAACCTTCATGTGGTGACATGGGAAGACTCAACATGAGAAAAAACAACTGCAAACATTTATTAATAATTGAAACAATGGAATGCATGAAGTATGAATGTAGGAATAGTGGAAGTAGTCAAAAATGAAATGGAAGATAGATATCACAGGCATTATTGAATGGACTATATTATTCAGATTTATGCCCCAAACATGAATGCTAAAAATGAAGACTTTTACCAACTTCTGCAGTCTGAAATTGATCAAACATGCAATTGAGATGCATTAATGACTACCGATGATAGGAATGTGAAAGTCGTAAACAAAGAAGGATTGGTAACTGGAAAATGTGGCCTCAGTAATTGAAATGATGCCAGAGATGACATGATAGAATTTTCCAAGACCCATGACCTATTCGTGGGAAATATCATTATTAACAACTTAAATGGTAGCTATACCACTTATGGTGGATGTCACCAGAATAAAGCTGAATACGTCTGTGCAAACATACAGTGGAGAAGTTTAATATCATCATCCAGGGGTCAACAATGAACCAGACCATCAG